AGCCGCTGCCCGCGTTCCTGCAGGTTCTTGACGTGCGGCCACAATCCAGCCGGTACCTCCCACCCGGCACGCGGGTCTGTGCCTACTGGAGCCAGAAGTCTCGATGTCTGTACCCGGGCAACGTGGTCCGGGGTAAGCTATACCCAAGGCGGGAGCTGGGGCAGGCCCCAACAGCCTGACTTCCGAGGCTGGCGAGGGCAGAACCAGCTCTCTGCTTAGACAGAGTACGACAATAAAATGAGCTCCCCAGGCACCGTGAAAAAGCACAGGGTGTGTGGGGAGGGAGGGAGGGGGCTCCGGCCTCCAGCCAAGCAGAGAGGGCCCAGCAGGAAGGGACCCAGAGCACTGCTGCTGGGGGTCACAGAGTACATCAGGGGGGCACCAACTCCCCTGGGCAAAACCGGCTGACTACAGGCAGGGCATGTAGGTCCCTAGGGTGAAAGGTGCAAAGATCCCACAGGCAAGTGGCCAGGCAGGTGGGAGGTGCCGCCAGGAGGGACTCGGCTGGGAGGTGGGCACGTGGGCATCAGCACGTGTGGGGAGGTCAGGTTCCGGTCGGGGTGGGGTGACGGTGGCATCGCACGGGAGGCACTGCAGGAGTTGGAAGGAGGCCCCGGCTCCTGGGCTGCAGGGCGGCGCCACCCTCCGTGTGGTCAAGGAGAAGAACCCTGGAGCCCTCCCCTCACCCTCCCGACCGGCCTCGGCAGCCCCGCCTCCTTGTTTCGGGCACCTGCTGGAGGTTCCAGCCACAAGCTCAGGTGTGCCGTCCACAGGGGCCTCCGGTGACGAAGATGAGGACCTGGACTCGGTAGTGGTGGAATTTGACGACGGGGACACCGGCCACATCGCTGTCTCCAATGTCAGGCTGCTGCCGCCTGACTTCAAGATCCAGTGTGAGCCCGGGACCTGTGTGGGGCAGGGCCCTGCCTGGGCTCCACTGTGTCCAGACAGGCTCCCAAGGAAGGGTTGGGGTGGCAGTACCCCACAGCCATGGCACTGAAGCCCTTGGCCCATGCTGTCCACAGGCACAGAGCCCTCTCCAGCCCTGCTAGTGGCTAGCAGCTGCCGGAGGACCAAGAAGGCGTCCAGCGAGGCCCCCCCGCCCAGTGAAGCCACCACCCCCAGCCTGTCCCCCAAAGCACAGGATGGCCCCGAAGCTTTGAAGACACCCGGGAAGAAATCCATTAGCAAAGACAAAGCTGGTATTTTGCTGGACTTCCCAGAACCCAGATGGGGGAAGGCATCCTCTGGGGGCTGGGGGAACGAGGAGACCCATGGGGCAGGCAGGGTCCAGGGAGCGGCAGGTGGAGGCAGTTTTGTGGGCCCAGCTGGGGCTGACTCCGCTGGGCTTTTGCCCTCAGGTAAAGCCGAACTCCTAACCTCAGGTGCCAAATCCCCCACGGGGGCCTCCGACCACTTCCTGGGCCGCCGTGGCAGCCCCTTGCTGAGCTGGTCCGCAGTGGCGCAGACCAAGCGGAAGGCAGTGGCAGCGGCCAGCAAGGGGCCGGGGGTGCTGCAGAACCTCTTCCAGCTCAACGGCAGCAGCAAGAAGCTGCGGGCCCGCGAGGCCCTGTTCCCCGTGCACAGCATGACTGCACCTGTGTTTGGCAACGGCTTCCGCGCTGACTCCTTCAGCAGCCTGGCCAGCTCCTACGCACCCTTCGTCGGGGGGACCGGGCCGGGCCTCCCCGGGGGAGCCCACAAGCTGCTTCGGGCCAAGAAGGCCGAGAGGGTGGAGGCTGAGAAGGGTGGGCGGCGGCGGGCCGGCGGCGAGTTCCTGGTCAAGCTGGACCACGAGGGTGTGACCTCCCCCAAGAACAAAACCTGCAGGGCGCTGCTCATGGGGGACAAGGACTTCGGCCCCAAGCTCGGGCGGCCCCTGCCCAGCCCCAGCTATGCGCACCCGGCCCTTGTGGGCAAGGACAAGAAGGGGCGGGCACCCATCCCCCCGCTGTCCATGGGGCTGGCACTGCGCAAGTACGCGGGCCAGGCAGAATTCCCACTGCCCTACGACAGCGACTGCCACAGCTCCTTCTCGGACGAGGACGAGGACGGGCCGGGGCTGGCGGCCGGTGTGCCCTCCCGCTTCCTCGCCCGCCTGTCCGTGTCCTCCTCCTCCTCCGGCTCGTCCACCTCCTCCTCCTCAGGCTCTATGTCCACCTCCAGCCTCTGCTCCTCTGACAACGAGGACTCGTCCTACAGCTCAGACGACGAGGACCCAGCCCTGCTGCTGCAGACCTGCCTCACCCACCCCGTGCCCACCCTCCTGGCCCAGCCCGAGGCCCTGCGCTCCAAGGGCGGCGGCCCTCACGCGCATGCCCAGCGCTGCTTCCTGTCCAGGGCCACGGTGGCTGGCAGCGGTGCGGGCTCAGGCCCCAGCAGCAGCAAATCCAAGCTCAAGCGCAAAGAGGCCCTGAGCTTCTCCAAAGCCAAAGAGCTCTCCCGGAGGCAGCGGCTGCCCTCCGTGGAAAACCGGCCAAAGATCTCAGCCTTCCTGCCCGCCCGGCAGCTCTGGAAGTGGTCGGGGAACCCCACGCAGGTAGGTCTCCAGAGGGTGGCAGGAGGAGTTCCATGTTCCCAAGGAAACCAGGGCGGGCTCACGCGCCCCTGCTGCCCTTCCTCTCCTTTTTGCATCTTCCTACTTGATTTCAAGTTAAAAAATGTGGAAAACTCAAGGGAAGAACAAAAACCCATCCATGACCCAGTGAGGCAGACAGCTACTTCTGCTGGCCCCTCGCTGGAGCCCACGGCCTGCGTGACGGTGGAAACGACTTCACGTCAGCACCGGGCCCGAGCTGCACTCCACATGTTATGGCCTCACTTTTCCACGTCAATAGTGGCACGGCCAGCTGGAGAGCTGTGGATCCCTGCGCTCAGATGCCAGCGTCTGTCCTCGCCAGGGCACTGCTCGGGGATGCACAGGGCCGCTCGTGGGTCTTTTGCCCTCGTAAATAACACTGTGGTGAATGTCTCGTCCACATATCCCTGCCCCAGGTCCAGTGTCCAGATGTCATGACTCCGTGTGCAGGCTCAGTGGAGGCGCGGCCCCTGCTCCGGATCCATGGCTGCCATGGCCTTCAGCCGCGGTGCTGCCGCTTCCCGTCCTTGCGGGCGCCCCGCACACTCACACTCTCAAACTCAGACTCACACACCCACACCACGCCCTCCAGGCCTCCTGGCCGCCGCCTGTCCCCCCCGCCCCTGGCCTCTCAGAGCCACCCTGCCCATGTCCCCCACAGCGGCGTGGCATGAAGGGGAAGGCCCGGAAGCTGTTCTACAAGGCCATCGTGCGGGGCGAGGAGACTCTGCGTGTCGGGGACTGCGCCGTCTTCCTGTCAGCTGGCCGGCCCAACCTCCCCTACATCGGCCGCATCGAGAGCATGTGGGAGTCCTGGGGCAGCAACATGGTGGTCAAGGTCAAGTGGTTCTACCACCCCGAGGAGACCAAGCTGGGCAAGAGGCAGTGCGACGGCAAGGTGAGCCCCAGGCAGGTGCGGGGCCCAGCCCCCCTCGGGGCCCCGGGGAGGGGGCACGACAGCAGCCAGCGCTGTGCTCCAACACAGGGCACCTGGCCCCACCACACATCTCCCGCTCAGCAGGTGCCACAGCCCCGTGGGGAGCCGCACAGCCTGTAGCCATGCCCTAGAGCAGGGCCCCCGGGTCCCTCCCCACTGTCGGGGGCTGTGGCCCACGGCAGTGCTCAGCATCCGGCAGGCCCAGTTCACTCCTGGGATGTGTAGCAGCCCCCACCCCGTGGGTCCTCCCTGCCTGCGATGCCAGCCCAGGACAGAAATTGCTCTCAGCACGCCCTGTGCTCCTCCCTGAGAAGAAGCCGTTTTCCAGACCATGGGACGTGTCCATCTTCCAGGGAAATTAGTATTTCTCTGACTCCGACAGTCCCCAGAGGGTCCCCGGCAGGTTCCTCGGGCTCTGGACTGGTTGCCCTGTTCCGGTCACGCAGTTGGAGGCCCGTCCGGGGACCCTTACAGAGCATGGGGGGGCAGGGGTCTTTCCTGGCCGGCCGCTGACGCCCCGCGCGCCTCGCCCGCAGAACGCACTGTACCAGTCCTGCCATGAGGATGAGAACGACGTGCAGACCATCTCCCACAAGTGCCAGGTTGTGGCGCGCGAGCAGTACGAGCAGATGGCCCGGAGCCGCAAGTGCCAGGACCGGCAGGACCTCTACTACCTGGCGGGCACCTACGACCCCACCACCGGGCGCCTGGTGACAGCCGATGGCGTGCCCATCCTATGCTGAGCCGCCCACCGCAGATGCCTCCCACCTGTGCCAGGGACCCTGTGTGCGGAGCCTGGCATCAGCCAAGCCGCCGGGCAGGAGGCAGCCCCAGCCTCCCAGGGGCGAGTCTGAGCAAATATGCAAAAGCCCACAGGGCAAGACCAGGCTTTCTTAGGTTTTCCCTGGAAAGAGCGTTCCAGGTGTCGGAACCCAGTCCCGTCCCATCCGCTGCGGAGGGTTGGGCTGTGGCCCTGATGGGTCCCTGGCCCGCCCCGCCCACAGCACCCTCCGTTTCCCGCACCGGCAGTTCACGGGAGATTCGAATCCAAGCCATATTCCCTAGTACCTCCGACTGTCTCCCACCAGGGAAAGCAGAAATCAGGTGTGTTGTCTATTTATTTCTCTATGTAAATACTGTATTTCTGCGGGGAAGTTTTATGGAAAAATGTGGAAAAGGGTTTTTCCCCATCCGCGTGACAAGGTGTGTGTGAGCGCGTGTGTGTGTGTGCTTGTGTGTGGCGATTTTTGTCCTGGGGTTTCCTTTGGAAATGCACTGTTCTCAGCCCAGCTGGGTTCCAATGGGGGCACCTGGGACGACAGAGGCAGCTCGGGGCAGGGGGCAGAGGCCACGGGAGGGTCAGGTGGGACCCTTGGTGGCACCCTCCAATCTCTTGGGGGGACAACCGTGTAAGATGAAAGTCAGTGGAGTTTATTTGCTTTCAGTGCGTCTCCTAGAAAAGAAGTGTTAGAGCAGGGGGCGGTGATGAGGGGCCTGTAGGGAAAGAAGAATTCAAGAGGCAAAGCCCAGACCAGGGAGTGTGACAGCAGCCGTGTGCATCTCACCTCTGTTCAAAACAAGACAAAGACGAACAAATATTTTAAAGTATTGATAAGAAAAAGTGATGTTTGGATTGTATTTCCTGAGTCATACTCCAACTTATATCTGATTTCTGTTTCCGGGGCCAGTTGGTCTGAGGCCAAGGAGTCTGGCCTCCACCCAGAGCAGGGAGGGACTGGCCCCTCGCCCCCCTCACCCTTGCTGCCCTGGCACACTCAGGAAGCAAGGCCCAGCTCTGAGCCCTCCTCACCCCTGGGGTCTTAACTTTCCTGAAAGTAGCAGATGCCACGTGAAGGGGCAGCTTGGCCAGGATCCTGAACTGGGCAGGGCTCTGGGCCTACGAGGGCAGGTTCACAGTCCAGCCAGATTGTCTCCTCACCCCCAGCAGAGTGCATGCAAAAGACACCCCTTTTCCCACCCACCTTATCGGTGCCCCCAAACCCCTGGCCTGCTGGGTAGATGGTGGTGAGGCCAGGCCAGCAGTGCTGTGGCCAAGGGAGAAGAAAATAAAATGCAGACTCTGCCCCATGGCCCACCCCAAGCAGGGGAAGGCCCCTTCCTGGGCCCCCTTTTCCACCAGCCAAATCTGCCTGGCCCTCGGACGCCTCTGCCTGCCCCAACGCCTTTAGAGGTTTCTTGGTCTTTTCAGTGCCGCTCGGTGGGGCAGATGGGCGTGCTCGGGGCATAGAATAAGGGTCCCTCTGACCACCCGAACCCACATCCTGGCCCCAGGTGCAAGGAGCACCCCTCAGGGGCTCTACCCCAGTATCCCAGGAGAATTCACACCCCTCCCTTTCTCCCACAGCCAAGGATACATAGGGCTGCCTGGACCTGAGCCCGACAGCCTTCAGCTTCAGAAATGCGTGGGGGACCACGTACTCCCCGTGTCCTCCCACACCAAGGTTCCCCTGGCCCCACGGGAGCTTCAGGAAAGCCCCCCCAAGTTAGCCGCTGCTCTAGGACAAGCTCTGTGTCACCCACACACCACAGGCCTCGGAAGCAGGGGTGCTGGCGGGTGCCCTGCGCTCCAATCCCAGGTCCCCTTGGCCCCCCTATTTTTCTTGGGCCCATTAGGGCCTGTTTCTCACCTGCTGGGCGGACTCCCTGAAGGGCCTTTCCCAGAGGCTCCCCAGGAAGCTCAAGGCTGGGGGCTTACGTTGTGGTCAGGGGTCCCTGCCCCCAGCCCCCCGCTCCCACCCCCGAGTCTAGCCTCTGTCTCACATGAGTGCAATATTTCATTCCTGGTGGTTGTCTGGGGAGGTGGTTGTACGAGGTCCTGCTCGAGGCTCGGGGATCAGAACAATGTCAAGTGAAGAGAAACACACTGGGGGTACGCCGAGCCACTGGAGTTCCCGGGAAGGCTGAGGAGGGCGCGGCCACCTCATCCTCGTCCCGCTTCTGCTGGGTTCCGCTTTGTCCCTTGTTTTTTTCTTTTTTTGCTTTCTGTGTGCGTGCGATTGGTGTGGCCCCTCCCCTCTTGCCGTGCTTAACGTGACGAAAGCACGATTCCTGTAAATGTGTAAACTAAGGGGATGGTTGGATTTTTTTTTCAATGTAAACACTAAAAACAAAATGGACAAAAAAACACACAAAGGTTTTATGAACAGCAGACTATGTAAAGGCATTTTAGTATCAAATTTTTTATTGATAACTTGCTTAAGAATAAATATATGGACTATTGTACAGGTTTTCGGGGCTCCAGGGTCCTGTGTCCCACGGTACTCCTGGGGGGGCCAGGGCTCCAGGGGCTCAGCAGAAGCCTCTTGTTCCCAGAGCTGGGGCTTCTGGACCAGGCCTCCCCACTGCCCCCTGTGTAGCCCCTCAGGGCACTGAGCCTTAGGCCAGGAAAGGGTCATGTGACTGGAATGGGGTTAGGGTGGTCTTAGGGGTGGGGTCCCTCAAGCCTGAGCCAGAGTCCGGGGCCAGAGTAGGTTCCGCTGGAGAGGACAAGGGCAAGAGCAGTCTCCGAACCACCACGTTGGGCAGGGCCTCCGATGTGAATGGCCACCCTGCGAGGACCGGCCCACGGCCCGGGTGTGGGAACACAGATCAGTGCACCCCAAGCTGGAGGGAGCCCTGTTGATGAGGCTGCAAACCCAGAGAAAGCTGGATGCTTGCAGGGGGTGGAGGGACCCTCCTTGTCCCCCCTCTGCCACCGGGATCTCAGGAAGCTGCGTGAAGTCGGTGTGCATCTGTCCCAGTGGGCCCCGAGTGCCTGGTCACAGCTGTGCCCACGGCCAGGAAACACGGTCCTTGGAGGATGGAGTCCCTGAGTCAGCAGCGCCTCCGTGGGCCAGTGAGTGCGGAGGGAGATGCTCAGGGACCGACCATGCCTCAGGCTGCCGCGAGGGCAGGGAGCAGATGAGGACCTTGGCCGGGCCCTGAGTAAGGAGGGCCTGCTGGACCAGGTTTCCGGGTCGGGGGTCCTCTGTGGTAAGAAAGGAAAGATGGGTGGGACCAGACCCTCCCTGTGGGCTCAGGAGACCCTGACTTCTGCCATCTCAATGACTTTTTGGGGCAGAAGCCAGCCCGGAACAGGGAGGAAGGCCTGCAGCTGTTGCCCCGGCTCCTGGAGCCCTGAGCCAGGCCTTGCTGCCACCTCCTGCCCACCCCAGGAGCTTGCCTGATGGAGCAGGTCGCACAGAGAGGCCACAGGCAGCCAACAGGGACTCTGGGGCAAGAGAGCCGGGTGACGCCCAGGCCGGAGAGGTGACACCTGCCTGGGAAGCCCACAGGTAACCTCTGCCAGCAGGTCTTGGGTTCAAATCCTCCATTCATCCAGCACTGCCTGGTGCTAGCAGTGTACCAAGCAGTGAGCCACGGTGGGAGTGAGCCGCCCATGGCCCCACCTTCATGACAGGCAGATGGGAGAGAGAGAACAGTGGGGCCCAGCAGCTATACCTGGGGCTACACAGCCGAGATAACCTCGCCCATGGAACCCTAAGGTCGGCCACCCCCATCTCAGCCAAAAGTGTGGTATCAGGGCTGAGCCAGGCCTGGTGGGGCCGAACTGCAGCTCCCTACCCCCCCTCTGCCCCCCACTGCATGTGGCAGCAGGGACGTCGCACCTGGCAAAGCAGACAACTGACTGTCTCTGGGGCAGTCCAGGTGGACTCCCTGGAAGAAGTAATACCGGGGCTGTCTTGGAAGAGCCCAGGGCAGGGGAGAGGGTAGTGAAGGAACAGCTGGGGTGGCCAGCAGGTGGTCAGTAGGGGCGGGGGGAGGTAGGGGACTGATGCTAGAGCTAGAGGGTGGCAGAGTCCAAATCTCAAGCCCCTGAGAACCGCGTGAAGCCTGTGTTCTCTCTTTGACAATGGATGCCCCAAGAGCTCTAAGCAGAGTCTGCAGTCAAATTGAGGCACTCGTTCTGCAGCCTGGGAGTCAGGGTTGGAGGTCCCAGGCCAGCCAGGCACCTGGGGGTCAGGGTTAGAGGGGCCAGGTCAACTAGACACCTGGGGGTCAGGGTTGGAGGTCCCAGGCCAGCCAGGCACCTGGGGGTCAGGGTTGGAGGTCCCAGGCCAGCCAGGCACCTGGGGGTCAGGGTTAGAGGGGCCAGGTCAACTAGACACCTGGGGGTCAGGGTTTAAGGGCCCAGGCCAGCACAGGTACCTGCGGGGAAGGGCTAGCACCAAGAAGAAACACTTTAAGGATGGCACAGGGCCAGGGGTCCAGGTGGGACTGAGGGCCGGAAATGGCTGCAGAGGGGGCCTGGCTGAAGGGGGTGCCACCAATGGGCCCAGGAATGGTCTGGGTGAGCCCAGGAGGCAGGTGACCCGGGCACAGCGAGTGGGGTTGACCACAGGCTTAGGTGAGCCCCCGACCTCAGGGGACTGACCTCCCCAGGAGCCCTGCAGGGCGCACTGCTGAGTCTTAACGGCAGGACTCGTGCCTGGGCCTGGCCTCAAAACACCACCGTGCTACCCTCCCCTCCACCGTCTCTCTGCCACTCATCCTCCCACCTTATCTCAGACACAGCCATCCTTGCCTTCCAGAACCTCCTGCCCCCAGAACCGGGCTTGGACAAAGGGCGGGGCGTTGTGGGAAGGACGGTCTGGGGGCTGGGCACGCACAGCTGCAGAGCCCCAAGGGTTAAACATGTAAGACTACACTTTGACCAAGACAAACGGGCCATTATGTGAAATGCTGGAGCAAGATGAATGCTGGCGCTGGGTGAGTAAGATCAATAAAAGTGATGTTTTATCAGGTAGAAATGACAACCTGGCTGATCGCAATTCGTTTTTAATACCACAAACCAATTGGGGACCAGGGGGCTTTAAGTGTTCGTCCCCGGCCTGCCGAGGTTGCTGGGGGTTGGTGGGGAGTTGGGGAGAGGCACCCGCACCGCTCAGCCATCGCAGGGTCACCGGGCACTGGAGCTGGCCAGATGCCCATGCCGGGCGGGCCCCTCAGTGGTCTCCTGAGTCTGTACCAGGCAGGGTGAGGAGGGAACTGCCTCTGGCCCCTGGGTGCAGGCTAAGAAAACAGGCAGAGGCAGCATCCCAGGGGAATAACTGAACGGCTCCCTGCCTCCCACCAAGTCCCTACCAGGAACCTGCGCCTCTCGGCCTCCATTCTCCCCCAACAGCCACCCCTCTCCCGCTCCCCAGGAGTCCCAGTGAGAAGCCAGAACCTCCCTCCTGTAAGAGCCAGAGGACCCGGCCTTGAGCTTCCCGTGCCCTCCCTGTCAGTGCAGCCTCTATACCCGCCTCAGGCTACCTGGAGCCATGATGGTGATGAGGATGCGTCTAGGGGAGCGAGCTTCCCAGGGACAGGCGGGTGGATTGTTCAAGGCCCAGCCACCACTCACTGCCCACTTGGGACCACAGCACAGCTGCCAGGGGGACCAGGCCTGCCCCTGTCTCGGGTGGGGAGCTGGGCCGGGCCATGGGTCAGTGGGGTAGAGGTGCGGCCCTGGGGCCAGGCCTTTAGGTGCAGCCTGACATTCCAGTAGGTCGGACCTCAGTGTCCCTGTCTGTGAAATACAGACCTTGGTCTCTTTCCCCACCCATGAGACCAGGATGAGGCTCACACGCGGCCCAGGGGATTTCTGGACAGATGCACAGGCAGAGCCCAGTCGGCATGGTGGTCTCAGCCCCTTTCCCTTGGTCCCCAACCTCAATCCCCAGGCCTTGTGTCCTCACCTACACCCAAGGGAGGCTTGAGAGGCCCAGTTCAGGCAGAAAGAGGAGCAGGGCTGGCCTGCAAGCCGCCTCTCTGTCAGCGCCTCATCACAGAGATCAGGTCTGTAGTCAAGGCTCTCAGGCCACATATCACTTCCGAAGGCCAGACACACTTCACTTCCATTCAGCCCCCTGGACTCCTGAGGGCCTGAGCAAAGGCTTTCCCCAAGCAAGAAGCAGCAACAGACCAAGAGCAGACACTAAGGCTGGGCGCAGTGGCTCACACCTGTAATCCCAGCACTTTGCGAGACTGAGGCAGGCAGATCACCTGAGGTCGGGAGTTCAAGACCAGCCCGATCAATATGGAGAAAACCCGTCTCTACTAAAAATACAAAATTAGCCAGGCGTGGTGGCGCACGCCTGTAATTCCAGCTACTTGGGAGGCTGAGGCAGGAGAATTGCCTGAACCCAGGAGGCAGAGTTTGCAGTGAGCTGAGATCTCGCCACTGCACTCCAGCCTGAGCAATAAGAGCGAAACTCTCTCAAAAAAAAAAAAAAGAAAAAGAAAAAAGCAGACACAGACAGCCGCCACTCGGAGCCTGGAGCAGGGTTTGCCATGAGCGTGCCACATAGTCTTGGGCCTGATGTCGCCGCAGAACTGAGAAAAGCATCTGTTTTCTTACATTCCACGTCCCCCTGGAGTCTTTTGCCCCTTTTCTTTGCTGAGATTGAGTTTTCAGGCAGGCTCTATCCTGTGCTTTAGAGTCAGCAGGGCCCACTCTGATGGGTGTTTCCTGTCTGTTTTTTGGAGGCTCCTGAGGCTGGCTGTACCCATTTACAGAAAGAAAAGGCAGGGGATTGACACAGCACCCTAGGCTTCCTGGGCCAACACCTACTGTTCAGGGAAAATCTCCAGTCCTGTCTCCCTGGACAGAGAGGACAGCAGGGTCCCTCATGATACCGAGGGCTGGTGGGGAAACTCAACACCTCCAGCCTATCCCAAATATCCTAGAATCTGTCGTCCTGCCAGAAGAGGCCTGTGAGGTCCTGTCCCATCAAAGCAGGGGACAGTGCATGCTGGTTCTCAGCCCCTGATGATGTGATCTGTTCTTGGCAAGGACACATCTTGTTTCCTTCTCAGACATCCAATCCTCTGTCCATCTGCCCATCCATCTGTCCGTCATTTCAACAAGTATTCATACAAACTGAAGACCTACTGTGTGCCAGGCCCTGTGCCATGCACCAGGATGCAGTGTTGAGAAGATTACACAAAGCCCCCACCCTCAAGAAACTCAGAGCCCAGTAGGGAAGAAGGCCAGCACACAGAAGCCGTGGCACCTGGCACACCAGGAACTCCAAGAAGCCACATCGAAGGGTACAGGACGGGCCTTTCCGCAGTACAGAGCAGCTGCAAGCCAAGGAATCCGGCTTCAGGCCCCCAGGGAGAGGAGCCGTCTTGTTGCCCTTCCAGGAAGCTCAGCTCCTAGCAGAATGCACTTCTGGGGGCATCCACAGTTGCTTCCTTTAACTAGTTTAATCCGAAGACAAAAGTTGAGCTAAGGCAGCTT